TGTTTTCGCTTCGTCAGTTCTGAAGACGGGTTCCTCTCTGAGTGGTTTGTCTCCCTGTGCCCCTGTGAGGCGGTCTGCTTGTAGACTTCCTATTTGAAAGGAAGGGACTTCCCTCCCCACCTGTGACCTTCCCCTTTGCCACCGAGCTGAGGATGGAGGAGATGCCGGCCTGAGAAAGGGCTGACAGAAACCGGAAACCATGCAGCATGGGCAGACAGAACAGCTAGAGCTGCCATGGGCCAGGGAGGGTTTTTTGTAGTATGAGGGCTGGCTTGTTGGGGTTTCTGTCCCTCCCAGTACCCCAACAGCTGGCAAGCAACAAAGAAAATCACACACAAGACTCCATAAGATTATAAACTGATTGGCCCATTAGGTCAGGCTTCTTATTAGTCCTTGTAACTTATATTAATCCATTATCATTATCTATGTTAGCCATAATGGCTCAGTACCTTTTCCAGCTGGGCAGCTTACATGTTTCCTCTCCAGTGGTCTGCGCAGGAGTGGCTGAGAGAGAGCTTCTGCTTCCAGAATACTCCCAGTCTCTTTGCTCCACCCCTACTTCCTGTCTGGCTTTCCTGCCTATACTGCCTGCCTGGCCAATCAGCGTTTTATTAAAATATGATTGACAGAATACAGATAATTCTCCCGCACCATTTCCCTCTTTTTTTTTTTTTAAACAAAGGAAAATACCCATAATCCATTTGTTGGGAATGTGGGCGTAGTATTTCAGGCTACTTCCTGCTGGTTGGGGGCACTGATAGTCTTAAGGGGACCTAAAGAAAATTTAGAGTTATAATCAAGTCATGACTGGAGTATCCTGTGAGTCTCGATCATCTCAGGCAGCAGTCTTGGATCAGTTCTGGATGTAGACCTCTGTCATCTGGGCCATCTGTTCCTATCGGAGATTTTTCAGGTGGCCTCCCTTGGTCAAAGGTGATTATTCTTAACTCTGAATAAATCCAGAGTCTCTCGTTTTCTGTGGAAACAAAAGCAAAATCTCTTCTCCAAAGTAACATACCTTTTGACTTCAGTTTTGAAGCCAAGGTATTTTCAAAATTCCTATCTTGGGTTAGTTCAGCAGCATTTATAAACAAAAGTCTTTTAGCAGTTGTTGCTCCTTCCTCAGCAATCAAACAATTTAAAGAGAGCATAAAAGCATACAGTATGAAGATTCTCTGTGCATTTTCCATCTTTATGTGGCTTTATTTTAACCTCTATTTCTTTTATTTTTACTTTTACTTTTTGAGACAGGATCTTTGTATATCTTTGTCCTGGAATAACACTGTAGACCAGGCTGTCTTTGAACTCACAGAGATCCTCCTGTCTCTGCCTCCCCAGTGCTGGGATTAAAGGTGTATGCTACCACACCTTGAACTCACAGAGATCTGTCTCTGCCTCCCAGGCATTGGGATTAAAGGCGTGTACTACCACACCTTGAGGTCACAGAGGTCAATCTACCTCTACCCCTTGAAGTCACAGAGGTCAATATGCCTCTGCCTCCCAGGCATTGGGATTAAAGGTGTGTACCACCACACCCAACTACTCTCTTTCTTTCCTTTTAACTTTAAGAACTTTAACTTTTAGTCTGCATATACACACTGTAAACCATTTAGAGGTTTTCTTCCTCTTTGAATCTCTCTTTACTGTATATTTTTCTTTTTCTGACCATATGAGTCTTTAATTTACTAAGCAATATGGAGAGCTGTGGCTTTGACGGCTAGATCCAGCTCATTCCTTAGCTTTTCAGCCTCAAGGCTGAGGTACCAGCCAGAGCTGTGTTCACTGCCACAACTCTATGGCATTTCAAGGTCCTTGCCAGCAAGCAAGCTGCAGCATTCTGCTCACAGACCACACTCAGTCGGACTGCCTGCCTGAAAGAGTCAGAGTTTGCTCTGGCAGGACAGCCCAGAAAGCCGGCATTTTAAAACAGCACAGCTTTTTTCCTGCTACGACTGAAAACCGAAAAGCATGTGTTCAGCTTTTCACCAACAGCATTTAAGTGTTTCGTGGCAGGACCTCTTAATGAGCTGCAAGGTTTTGCAGCTAAGGCTGAGTCAGGAAGCCTCTCTTAGATGAGAGTGCTTGCTTGCCTCTAGCAAGCAAAGTAGACCTGAGAAATTGCTGCCACCAAGAAGCCATGCTTTACTCTATTCTTTTCCAAGCTTTCTCAGGCTTTCTGTGGATTCAGTTATCCACGTCTGGGCGCCATATGTAGTATGAGGGCTGGCTTGTTGGGGTTTCTGTCCCTCCCAGTACCCCAACAGCTGGCAAGCAACAAAGAAAATCACACACAAGACTCCATAAGATTATAAACTGATTGGCCCATTAGGTCAGGCTTCTTATTAGTCCTTGTAACTTATATTAATCCATTATCATTATCTATGTTAGCCATAATGGCTCAGTACCTTTTCCAGCTGGGCAGCTTACATGTTTCCTCTCCAGTGGTCTGCGCAGGAGTGGCTGAGAGAGAGCTTCTGCTTCCAGAATACTCCCAGTCTCTTTGCTCCACCCCTACTTCCTGTCTGGCTTTCCTGCCTATACTGCCTGCCTGGCCAATCAGCGTTTTATTAAAATATGATTGACATAATACAGATAATTCTCCCGCACCAGTTTTTCACCTCCTCTCTCCTACCTGTAGAGACCAGTCCCATCTCTTGTTTCAGTGATGATTCTTCAGAAACTGGACGAGGTAGGCAGAGTGGGGAACCGTGATACTCGTCTAATAGTCTCACAAGAAGCCCTCCCGCAATGACGGTCCTAGCTGTATTACGCTGGATGGAATTGGCCAGCCCCGCCTTCTTGAGGCTCTTCACAAAGCACCAACCCTGCCAGCCCTCTTCCTGCCCTGACCCCTCTGGAGCAAGTGCACAGGCCTGCTCTGTCTTCCCCTGGCTCAGTTCCTATTCATCTGCTCCCCACCATCTGTATGCCATTGCTGTGTTTTCAGACTGGTCAGTTTCTACCGCGTCTTGTGACGACACAGAAATCTCACTTCCTCTGTCTAGTCGCTGCCCCCACCCAGTCAGAATTTGACCGCTTTTGAATTCTGCTTTCTGCCACATCCCTTATTGTGTGTGTATCCCTTTTCATTGTCAGAAGCATGTCACTGTCAGGATCCTGAGACATATAGTTGTTTCAAAGACAGAACTGCTAAGTCATAAAATAGTTCCTGTGTTTGTGTGTTAGAACATACACCCGTAGACCTAGATCTCACATAGCCTTAGATGAAAATGTGTTACCCTAAGGCAGCCTGATGTGTGAAGGAGGTGTTAGCATCAACTCTGTAAGAAACAAAGTGTCATGGTTTGTAATATGTCTTTAAGCAGCCTTACACTTTATTCTCGTGGTCAGTAATAACAGAATAATCTGAGGAATTATATGCAGGTAACATATGTCATAGTATTTATTGTCATATATGTCATAGTATATATTATCACTGTAGCATTTATTGTAGTCATTTGCATGACCTAATTTAGATCATTATATTTACATTTAATTTCATTTATTAAATTGATCAGGATGTTGGAAAAATGCTCTTTGCTGAGGTTTGTTGCTTAAATGATCAGATTTCTATTGATGTCCTTTGCAGTCTAAGAAGGGCCTAGGGTCCAGCAGTTTTGTTGAAAAACAGGGCTTGCCACTGTGTTTTGGTAACACCATCTGTGAGACTTGACAGGCTCCATTGTTCATAGCAGAAATGGTGGGATGTGCGTGTTGGTGGGGGTTGAGAGAAGAACGGTGCTGTGTTGGTGCTACCAAGGGCTCGAGGAGGTCAGGGTTATGTTGGTAAGGGGTGTGGAAGGGGGGATTTCAACAAACAGCTTCGAGACTGTAGCCCCTCGTTTACAAGACTGGAAGGGCTGGATGAGACCGATGGAAATACGGCAAGAACAAAACAAAATGAAAATACCAGCACACACTGGGCACAGCAAGCCCTGAGAATCCGGAGCAGCTGCCATCAGTGTTGCAGGGAAGGGCATCTCACTCTAATAGAATGGGGATTAGCTCTGAGTGGCCTATTCATAAGCAGTCCTTATGCCTGTACAAAAGACCAGTTGGCACCCAGAGGCCAAGCCAGGAATTAGACAACTAACTGAGCCGTGTGTTTTTCTCTATCTCCCTACATTTTCTCCTCGGTCCTTAAAACAGTGAGAGCTAAGCCAAAAGCGAACACAGGGAAGCCTAATTCTCGACTCTAGTAGACTCCAAATGCATAGCCTACTCCGGATGTGTAGCCTACTCCGGATGCGTAGCCTACTCCAGATGTGTAACCTAGTCCAGATGTGTAGCCTAGTCCGGATGTGTAGCCTACTCCAGATGCGTAACCTAGTCCGGATGTGTAGCCTAGTCCGGATGCGTAGCCTACTCCAGATGCATAGCCTAGTCCGGATGTGTAGCCTAGTCCGGATGCGTAGCCTACTCCAGATGCGTAACCTAGTCCAGATGCGTAACCTAGTCCAGATGTGTAGCCTAGACCGGATGCATAGCCTACTCTGGACGCATAGTTTACTCCCGGCCCGTAGCCTACTGCAGATGATGCATGGCCTATTCCAGATGTGTAGCTTAGTCTAGATGCATAACCTAGTCTATGTTTCAGTCTGAGGAGGAAAATGGTCTCCTGAAACCAAGAAAGCTTTTGCGCCCCTGCCTGCAGAGAGGGGTGGTAGAGAGGTGCATTGTGGCTCTGCCTAGTGTTTTGTTTACTCTAGACGTTTTGAGGTTTCAGAACATCAGCAAGTCTATAAGCCCATGGGTGCACATACAGTAGTCGGTGATTCTCATTTCCTTGAATAAATATATACTTCTACATCTGTTTGAAAATGTTTCTTCCCAGCATGCATTGTGTGTGGCAGGCCTTCCTAGGTTGTTTCTGAGCAGGGATTGAGAGGGGATGGCCACACTACGCTGAGTGTGGAATTGGGCTTTGTAATCCCCCACCCAGCATGGAGCAATCCCAGGCACGGAGTCTCCCCTTCTCATCCAGCTCTCTCTTCTTGCAGGTGCACACACTGTGACCAACGCAACGACGAAGTGGATTTCCTTTGTGTTTAAAGAGAGAAGAAGAAAAATGTCCCCGTGTCTGTAGAGATGATTTGCAGTTCAGCCCGGCTGAAGCTGACCGAATGAGACTATGGGCTGTGCCTCTGCCAAGCATGTTGCTACTGTTCAAAATGAAGAGGAGGCTCAGAAAGGGAAGAACTACCAGAACGGAGATGTGTTTGGCGGTGAGTGCTTGCACACTCTCCTCTGGGCCTGGCAGTTCCAGGCCTTTTTCACTTGGGTAGCAGTGAGTAACCTGACTGATTCTTGTCTTCCGCCGTTGGGTCAAAGTGGTGGCGAGGCTTGAGTGAAATCAGTGCAGGCCTTTTTTTTTTTCCCCTATCATTGGTTTGTATCGTGTACTTAGGGAGGCTTGGGGAGGGAGGATCACAGAGGTGTTTATACAAGAGTTCACATTCAACCTAAAGAACCAAAGAGGTTTAGTCAGTTTACATCAGGCCATGCCATGTGTGCTCTGGTGGGTGACAACTGAAAATCCAAGCTGGGAGTGGAGTGAGTGGAGGCTTGTAAATGAGAATGTGGGTGTGTTGTAGGGTTAATAGCGCGAATCCACATGAAAACATATAATGAGTAGTTATTGTGTTCCTAGTACAAAAGTCACACAAATCACAGTTTCGTGGCCTCTTCTCTTCCTCCTCCCCCCCGCCCCCCGAGGAAGCAGCCTTTCAAAGTGAATATGCTCCACACAGAAACTCAGCTTTCAGAAGCTCTGGGAGTCTGGGTCTTCATTACTTGGGGGGATCAGTGGGGTGGGGTGGTGTTTGCCGCTTCAGTAGCCTGTGGACTCTGTTGACCCACAGACTCTTCCCTGTCCATATGCACCAAGCCTAGGTCACTCTGTGGCGTTCATTACCTGCCTGACCACTTACTGGATTTTGAGCTTCTTGACCTTGGGTTTGTCTCTTGAAAAATCAATTTCTGCTCTGATGGAATGTGAATACTTGTATACAATTCAAGCTAGTACAAGGCGTCTGGGCCAGCTTCTGCTAAATGACTTCAATAGTAATATCTACTAACTGAAAATTATAAATAAAAACAGTTCTTTTATTTATAAAATCTCTTACTGGATAAGGATTCTCACTGAGAAATGTCTCATCCCTCAGTCACTCTCAAATGATGCTGTCACTTGTACAACAGTTATGTGTGTGTGTGTGTGTGTGTGTGTGTGTGTGTGTGTGTGTGTGTGCACGCAGATGAGTACGTGTGTATAAAGGCCAGAGGACAACCTTGGATTATTTATCCTCAAACATAGTCTACCTTGTTTTTTTTGAGACAGGATCTCTTTGACTGAACAAGACCCAGGGACCCAGCCCATCTCTCCAGTGTTGGGTTTACACTGGCCTCTTTGTCTGAGTTCTGGGGAACAGACTCAGGTCTGTGTCATATAAAGCAAGCTCTAAACTGACTGAGCCGTCTCCTAGCCCTGGAATTCGAGCCATTGTAATGATTGTTCTGGAGCTGGAATTTCTACTGTTCTATTAAAATGTATTCCCGTGAATGAGAAGTTCTGTTCCTGTGACAAATTTGCCTCTTGTGGTGACTCTCTGGAGGATTTAGAAATGGAAGGAAGTAATAGATATTTGAGCATCTTAACAAAGCCAGACACCAGCTCACTGAAACTGCAGATACTGGGAAAACAGCTAATTGTAACTGGAGTCATTATTGTGACCCTTAACTGCTAAGAGAAAACGATCCACCATCAGGATTTGTTTAAACTAGCCTCCGTGTGATGGTCTGTCATGATCAGTTTTGTCAGGGAGCTACCTCAGATGGAGCTGCCACCATATGTCAACACCGGGAGGCATTTGCATTCATTTTCGTGTTGAATTTTCACAACAATCCTGTGAAATATGTGCTGTCTCAATTTGCATATGTAGAGGCTGAATCACAAAAAGCTGACTGCTTCAAAGCCGCCTGGCTATTCAGCATCAGCATCCGCATCCCTTGGGCCCTGGGTCACCTCTTCCTCCCTTGCCTTTCCCTAGTGTATGGCCGCTTCCCATCTCTATCTACTGTTTTAAGGCCTTTTGCTAAGCATCATAGAGATTACAGTGGTAAATATTGCACAGATTTTGCTGTCTTCTCCTTTGTGAGCGAATAGGGAAGTGTTGTGAGGCAGAATAAGTCAAATATCAGAAGATTCCTGTCATGGTAAGACTCAGGGCATGGACTGTCTTAACTTTAAAGGTAGAATCAGGATGAATTCTTTACAGAAGTGGCATGTGAACCTGGCCTGGAGGAATCTAAACTTTCTGGGTAAGAGTTCAGGAGAGAACCAGATAAGAAAAGGGGGAGGTAATGGGAGACATGCTCAGAATTTTGAAGAATCCAGTTTGAAAGGAGAATAAAATATAGGTAAAGAAATACAAGTCAAAGTTAAATTATAGGGAAAATAATACCAAATTACGGTCTTTCGAAAGAAAATCTTAGACTGTAAGGACAAGACTTTGTGATGTTAGTATAGAGCACTTGTATTCTGTGCCACCTAACTACCTCTTTCCTTTTTGAGTTGCAGCTTGCACATGCACACGGACTGTGTTTCCCTAGTGTACCGTGTGTATTTCTCAGAAGTTAGCATTTCCTCGCCAGCTGTTGCTGGGTAGGCTCTCAGCCTCAGGGTTGTGCAACAGCCACTTGCTGGGTCAGCTGGGATGCTGCTTTACTCATCCCTCATCTTCCTGGTCCTGCACACCTTGAGCCACGGAAGGCAAACCATCCTTTCTAAGAAGAACAAGAGTATGAACCACACATAGTCTGGGTCCTAAGGATAGAAATGCATGTACACCACATTTCACTAGCCAAAGCAGGTGACAGGCCCAAAGTAAAGATGGACAAAAGGACATGTCTGACCACACTGCAAGCATGCAAGGATATGCGTGCAGTGGGCAGCTGTTGCTCATTGGGTAATGAGACTGTCCCAGGTCTGCCTAGTCCTCTATGGCTCTATGCGTCCTTGTGGTCCAAATATAGGAAGTGCAGTTAAAGAATCTGCTGAGGTGGTCTTTGTTTGTTTCTTTGTTGTTTTTTAATCTCCCTAATACTCATTGAAATTTTATTTCCCCCAGTATTTACTATCTTGTTAGTTTTTCTAACATAAACGTTTGCAAGTTTGTGGTACAGTGTTAAATAAAGCAAGGATATAATGGTGGACAGATCACTAGTCACGAAAGATTCTTTGTTTGTTTGTTTGTTTGTTTGTTTGAAGCCCAACAGGGTCTGGCAGTAGAATTCCTAGAATTCAGTATTGAAGAAAGGGCAGTTACTGAATGCTTTAGTTTAAATTTGACAAGATACATCCTACCTGTATCTCTCTACTTAAATTAATTTGCAGGGAGAAGCCCCCATCCCAGTATTCTCACAGATAGTACAAGATTCCTGGTTTTGAGGCAGGGTTTCTCAGTAGCTTTGGAGCCTATCCTGGAACTTGCTCTGTAGACCAGGCTAGCCTTGAACTCACAGAGATCACCTGCCTCTGCCTCCCAAGTGCTATGATTAAAGGTGTACACCACCATCACCCAGCTCTCCTGCAGTTTCAAGGTTCTGTTATTGTACAGTAAACAACCTCAAATTCTGTTGCACCCCAGGGTACTGATGCGTTATTTCTCAACATTTGGTGGATCTCTGAGGCCTGGCTGCTGTCCTCCTCACACTCAATCACACAGCTTCACTTAGCGAGGCTCTTCCATGAGCTCCACTGTCTAGGATGTCCTCCAGCCTCTGCTGCAGACCTCTTTTTACATGTGAGGAAGGTGAGGCTGCCGAGTGAATTTTCTCCTACCTTCTTCTCCTCAGATCTCTTTTGTTTTCTAAAGGTAAACTGCCGCCTGAGCCATTTATAAGGTCAGAGGAAAGTGTCTCTTTCTTGTCATCCCAGGAGTTTGTTGTTGTTTTTGTTGTTTTGGTTTTTAAAGTAAGTCTTGTATTTGTTGATAAGTCTAATCTCTCTTATCAGTTGGTTAGCAAGTTGTGGGCAGAAAGTGCACGCTCTTCAGAGAGTCTAGGAGCAGAATGCAGAAGGAATACCCAGAGGTCAAGTTGAACACTGACCGTACCAGCCCCCTTTTGTAACAAACCTGGCTCTAAGTGCTGCTGAGTCTGGTTTAAGGAGCACCTGATGTTTATACCAGTCTTTTAAACAGAGGCATGTAGATTATTGTAGTAAAATTTTTTGGATGCCATTGTAAGACCAAAAGCTGGCAAGCGAATCAGGAACCTGGTGGCTGTCATTTATGTGGACTTAGATATACTCTCATTCTTGATGGTACATAAAGTAACAACATGAAGTGTGTGCGTGTGTGAGGAAGGGAGGGAGGGAGGGAAGGAGGGAGATACTCTTACACCAGTCTGTAACCTGTCTAAAACTCTGTAGGGACCAATTTCTCAGGGCAGCGGTGAAGATTAAATGATAAAACGCTTCCTGATGTATTTAGAAATGCAAATCAGTGGGAGGCAAAGTAATAATTCATTGTGTATCCCTCGTCGTTTTGATTGTACAAAGTGAAGCTTCATTAAGGACACTTTGCTCCTACAGTAATTACAGAGAGGATAATGTGTATTTGTGTGGTACAGTAGCCATTGGCTGCACATGGCTCTGGTATGTGGATGATGTTGCTAGGCCCGAGATGCTTGTACGTTTTGTACAAAATGAAGAATTAATGTGGAAAACAATATAAAATAGCTCATTAAAAATTCTACTATTGCTCACATGTTAAAATGATGATTTAGATCTTCCAGATTAAGTAGATTGTATTAAAATTACGTGCACCTGCTTACTTTTCATGCAGCCACTAGAAATGCTAAGACTTCAGGCCAGGAGTGGTGGCACACTTTAATCCCCGCACGTGGGAAGCAGAGGGAGATGAATCTCTCTAGTTTGGGGCCAGCCTGGTCTACATAGTGAGTTCCAGGACCTGCCAGAACTACATAGCGAGAGCCTGTATCCAAAACCCAACAATGACAAAACCAGAATGTTAAAGCTGGAGGAGTCTAGGGGGACATGGATAGGGCTAGGTTATAGTTGTGGAAGCTAAGAACTCAGACAGCTGAACACCAAAAGATCTGATAATCCAGTCAAAAAGTGGGCAAATGAAATAAGCAGTTGCTTTTCAAATATATCACTTGTTTTCTACGTGTGGATTATCTTTTTTAAAAAGACACTAACAAA